AGTATATGGGGGGGGGGGGTAGTTGCAAGGAAGGGCTAATTGGAGTCAAGATGCATAAGTAACTGAGTGATAAGTATAGCTAAGACTAGCTTAAAGCTGTTGGTAAAACCAGTGAATAGCAGCAAATTAGCATACAGGTAATAAAGGAGTTAACAAACAGATGCGAGAACTGAATGACTTAGTATATGTAGTGAGATAAGAACCCAATATCTCTGTTAAACCCTGGGGGTTCCATTGTTCTTAGTGTTGTAATAACTGTAATCAAGCAGTTTTTCATTCTAGTCCATTTTTGAAAATCCTTTGCAATAAAGCAGCTACTTTGAGGACCCTCACTGAGTGTCCTAGGAGGTTCCTGTTCACTTCCTGTTACTTTTGACCCGCCATCTTTGGTGCCCCCCCCTTTTAGCATACCCAAATGCTCTAAAATGTAATCTGGAAGATCCAAGTACACAGATGGCATTTTACAAATAGGGATATCACAGCTTCGGTGAAGTCCCACGTTTTTTGAAAAATGAAGCTGAAAAATGTAATGAAATCAAAAGCTTCATTATCTACAGGTGCTGAAATATAAGCAGCCAGACCTAGGGGTTGCAGATGTAGGTTAAGCCCCTTGGAAATCTTCTTTTGGAGTGCATTCTCTGACTGCTTAGAGCCAAAAAGGGCATATTCCATCTCACTATGGTGTCTGCTATACGCCAAGGTAGGATGCCGGCTATGGTGGATTTCACCTTTCCTCTAAAGATCTCTTACTTATTGCGCTTGTTCCTTGTTTGTGCCATTCTAGATTGCAGTGGGGGGGGGGGTTAGAAGATGAAAGGCCTTGTCTTCTGGCTAAATTTTGGATCAGATGGCCCTCCAGTCCACTTCTGTTTCTAAGGTTTTCATACAGTGCAAGCAAACATCTAGCTTGAGAGATCTTTTCTCACTGACTCCAAGTGACCAGACCAGTCTTTTTCTAATTCTGCAAGAAGGATAGAGATAATGGGATGTAAACAATCTGCCAAGTATCCCCCTCCATTAACTGAAATCTCATTACCTCCTAAATCACTTTGAAGTTGTGTGTCCGGAAATGATCTTGAGCAGGTTCTAAAAATGTCAGGGGGGCTCTTGGGTGCACAGCCTGCCTTGCCTGTCTGAAAGCGGTTGCTGCTAGCACACCACAAGAATTGGCATTCCAGTTGACTTGTTGGTTTTGATGTTAAGGTATAGTGCAACAAAGGTTAAGAGGGGATCAAGCTGGAAACTTCATCAGAGGTGGGAGTGTGTCCTTGGATGGGCATGAAATTCTTAGGAATGTTCAGATATATGCTGTATATGGCACATGGTCAGACCTGCACAACAGTATCTTCTGCTATGCAGCAAGGGATCCTTGAGTCGCACCTCTTAAATTTGAATGGCATGCAGCTTCACTCGTGTTCCTGAATGTATATTGATGCCTCCCAAGAAGATTGCATTGGTTCCTCGTATAGCCAGGCCAGCTCAACTGGACAGTGGCAGTTTCCAGATAATGTTGGATGCTGTAAGGCAGGGAACACTGAAGGTTTGGAGTGAGTGCGGTGTAGTGTGGTTAAGAGCGGTGGACTCTAATCTGATAGAACTGGGTTTGTTTCCCTACTCCTCCGCCTGAAGGCTGCTGGGTGACCTTGGGCCAGTCACAGTTCTCTCTGAACTCTCTCAGCCCCTCCTACCTCACGAGGTGCCTGTTGTGGGGAGAGGGTGGGAATGTGATTGTAAACCGCTTTGAGACTCCTTAGGGTAGAGAAAAGCAGGGTATAAAAACCAACTCTTTTTCTTCAAAAGATCCAGTTCTTTCTCTCCTGTAATTCTCACTTGATAGCACTTAACACACACATACACACAATTCACAACTGGCCACAGGCGAGTGGTTCTTTACAAACTACATAACAAAGGGGTGTGAGTTGAAAGTGTTGGTTAGCCCTTGACAAATTTACAAGGCTTCTTTGCCTCTCTATATTGCAAGAAACGCGATCATGTGCACATAATAGGGCATATGGATTGACCCAGGGGAGCACATGAACACATGAAGCTGCCTTATACTTAATCACAGACCCTTGGTCCATCTAAGTCAGTACCAGCAGCAGCTTTCCAGGGGCTCAGGCTGAGGTCTTCCACATCGCTTCCTACCTGGTCCTTTTAACTGGAGATCCTGGGGATTGAACCTGGGACTTTCTGCATGCCAAGCAGATGGTCTGTCGGTGAGCCACATCCCCTGATCTGTGTTATCCCTGATCTGTGAAGACTTCCCTAGGCCAGTAATACTTAAATTGTGTGATAAGTAGGTTGCCCTGTGAGCTCTTATATGCACATGAGAAAGACCTCTGCCCGAAACCCTGGAGAGCTGCTGCCAGTCTGACTAGTCAATACTGGCCAGGATGGACTAATGGTCTGATTCAGCATAAGGCAGCTTCATATGTGATTTTCATGGTGGTCTCTCTAGTTGCTGTTTTTCTGTACTTGTGTAATGTTGTTGACCCTTGGTCTGTTTGGAGTGCCACAGGTTATTCTCCAGTGTGAGGCTTGGAGCTAAGACTAGAGAGGGGATGAGCCTTTTGAGAATAGACTTGGGCGCTAGAAGCCACATGCAGACCCCTCAAGAGCTGCACCTGAAGTTGGAGTTGTGGTCTATATAAGATCTTGCTGTGTTGGTACCACAGAGTAAGAGAAGCAAAATTACCCACTCTGAGACCAGAATTTGCTGGTGAAAGGTGTGCAGAAGCTTCCAAGTAGCTGAACGTTGCTTGGTAACATGTTTGGCAGTGGTGAAGCAGATGCATCTTTCTTTGCATTCAAGTGGGCTTCCTAAAAGACTGGCCGAGGCCTTCAGCCTAACCTGTCTCCCTGCTTTGTTTCCTTCACAGTACAGTGCCGTGGACAACAACCCCCTCTCCCTGTACGTCATGCACCCATTTTGGAATACGGTGGTTAAGGTGAGCTGTTTTCTTTTGTTTTGATTTCTGCTCTTCTGAGTGTGTCTGTGCTTGAAGTGAATCTGCTAACATCCCTGTAAGTAGAGAAATCTCCTGAGCGGCCTGGTGCTTCTTGGTTGACACAGCCCCTGTCTCTCTGTCTGTGACTAATGCAAAAAAGCTTGGCCTCTTGAAGGGGATGTTAAGTGTTCAGAGACACAGTCACATTACAGCCTGAAGGTTCTTATGCTACCCACACAGGGATAGATGTTGAAGGTTAGCCTTGTCTGGCACTAACAGTCACATTCTGGTCTCTTAAAATGCCACAGGGAGGCCTTTCTGTACATGCTAATTAATGTGGGTTTTTTTGCATGTGTTCTTACTGCTTTCCCGTAGATTTTCCCTACGTGGCTGGCCCCAAATTTGATAACGTTTTCTGGCTTCCTGCTGCTTGTCTTCAACTTCTTCCTCATGGCATATTTTGATCCTGACTTTTATGCATCTGGTAAGGCTGCCTTTTTTTTTTTTAAAGAAATGTGTATACGTTTATGGACACCAGAATGATAGCCTTGGGAGGTGCATGGTGGCACTGTGTCTGCACAATGAAAGATTCTCATTGACTTGATTATTCACTGTGGTTTGACTGCAGCAATGTGAGGTCCCCATTAGTATGCCCCTGCACGTTCTAGGAGCTGGACAACTTGGATTTTCCTTGTAGGGCTGCTTTTGAGGAAGGTGTGAGTGAAGGTGGCCCCAATCTCTTGCCCAGCTCGGGAAGGTGGGAGAGTAATAGCCTGTAAGAATAGAAGAGGTGGGCGGGCAAGATAGGAGCTCTACCATTGTTCACTACTTAGAGATTCCCCTGGGCTATCTTCATGTGTGGGAGGAAGAGGGGATGTGTCTGTGTTCTTTGCCATGGATTGATCACTAGGAACCATTCTGTTTCCATTTGCAGACCCCATACACATACCGGGGTCCCTAACCTTTTTGAACCTGTGGGCAGCTTTGGAATTCTGACACAGGGTGGTGGGCCCAACCACAGAATGGCTGCCACTGAAGGCAGAGCCAACCACAAACTCTTCAGGGAGTGAGGTCATGCTTATTGAAGAATAATAATAATTATTATTTATTATTATTTATTTAATTTGTACCCCGCCCTTCCCGCGAGCAGGCTCAGGACGGAATAACTCTTCCAAGGTTTCAGGCAGGAGCTCTGTTTAACAGAATGCCTTTTTAAAATGAAAACACTGTATAAAAACATTTCCTTGCATACACACACAGCTTACCTTCAGTCACACAGTGGAGATCTTTGTGCAATTGTGGCAGCTGCCGCCAAAGTGGTTCTTTAAAAAATCTGCGGCACCATTCAGAAGCCCTGGCTGGGCAAAAGCCCTGCCTGACCCTTCCTGCTTCCTAAAAACTCTTGGTGGGCTCCAGGGAATTTGTCCGCGGGTGCTCTGGCGCCCATAGGTGCCGTGTCGGGGACCACTGGCTTAAGATGTTGTCTTCCTTAACTCTTGACAGTGTCATTGTGTTGGGAATGTAGTGACAGTGTGTTCCTTTCCTAAAGGATAAACTCCAAAAATATGCTTTGGGCTGAGATACGTAAGGAGTTGTCAGTTTGCCAAGATGGCATTTTATGAATAGGTGACAATATCACGTTATCTGCTGACCTTGAACAATCTGGAATGTGGTCATAAGCCAGCATCAAGGGCAGTGCTGCTGTACCTCCCCCTCCTTTAAGCCACAGCACTGCAGTCCCTTTTCCTCCTTGCATTCTCTGTCATCGTTAGAGAGGCATCTCTCCCCTGCCCCTTGTTGTTCCCTGCTGTATGTTGCTTTTTCTGACGCTATCCTCATCCTCCGTGAACCTAGCCTTGGACAGTCACATTATCGCTTGGCTTTGTCCTGTTTTCAGTTAATCTATCCCAGGGTGGTATTATACTCCCAAAACCACTGAGAGAGACTACAGGAAGGTTCTGCTGGAGAATCTAAGATGGTGGCCAAGATAATGCAGGTTTATTTTCTGAGAATGTCTAAGGGTCAGGAATTATTTAGAGAAGGTGTTGGAGTCAACTAGACTGGTGCATCACCTGAAACTGGCAACAGGTACTCCCCTGGCCACTGCTGCAAAGGACCCATGAGCACCCCCTGGCTGCATACCTGATCCCCTGGGGAGATTGCAGCCCCCATCCAAAGCAGACTGCAACCTGGTCCCTGGATCTGCTGAAGCAACAACCAAGAGACCCTTAGGTGGATTAAGTTTTTGTTGCATCACAACCAGTCCCTTACGGCTTTCAGGCACAAGCTCCCTAGAATTTGTTGGGCAAGAGAGATAGAGCCGAGCGTCCCCTACTCAAATGACCTCCCTTGATTCCTTCACACAGAAGTGAAACAGCAAAGGAATAAGTAACTTTCAAAAACTGTCAACAATGAATCCCCTGATGGTGGCACTTGCATGGGGCCGGGAGGGAAAAATAATCTCAGTTTTTTAGGTATCAGCATCCAATATATTTAGATGCCTGGAGCTTTCCCTCCAGCCCTGGTCCCGTAGCTCAAGGGAAGCAGATTTCCAGGGAAGACATGGGGTGGGTCCATTTCCTCCTTCCTTGAATGCATACCCCGGTAAAGATGAAGGCTTGGGTCCTAAGATGAGTTGTGCTTATGGGAGAGGCTGTGTCTCAGTGGCGGAGCATCTGCTTGGCATTCAGAAGGTCCTAGGTTCAATCTCTAAGCTAAAAGAATTAGGTGGTAGGTGATGTGAAAGACTTCAGCCTGAGACCCTGGAGAGCTGCTGCCAGTCTGAGTAGACAATACTGACCATGGTGGACCACTGGTCTGATTCAGGATACGTTAGCTTCATGTGTGTGTGATGGAAGGTAATTTACCTTCCTTCTCCTTCTCACTGCAGCCTTTTTGGACCCCCCCCCCCCATCATGCTCTTTGGGTTTCTAGGCCTGAAAGGGGGGGTGTGGAAGTCTGCAGCAGGAGGGGTATTGGCAAAAAATGTCCTTTCTTTCTCCACAAATGGACAAGCTGTTCCATCAGAGCACCTGCTGCACCACCAAGGGAGCACCATCCAAGCCAATGTTCTCATCACTGGGCAGTGCTTGCAACCTGTGAAACATGTATGCAATGCTGCAGGATCACTCGAAAAACATTGCTTCTGCGATTTTTTTTTGTATTCCAGACTTTATATAAATGTAAATGTTTCTAAGGAAAAGCTAATACAGGCAAGTAAAACTTATCTGTAGAAGTGAGCAGTGACTCATGAAAGCTCATACCCTGCCACTAATTTTGTTTGTCCTGAAGAAGAAGAAGAAGAGATTGGATTTATACCCCGCCCTTCACTACCCAAAGGTGTCTCAGAGCGGCTTACAAACTCCTTTCCCCTCTCCTCCCCACAACAGACACCCTGTGAGGTAGGTGGGGCTGATAGAGCTCTTGACAGAAACTGCTCTTTTTCAAGAACAGCTCTTATCAGAACTACGGCTTGCCCAAGGTCATCCAGCCAGGTGCATGTGAAGGAGTGGGGAATCAAACCCGGTTCTCCCAGATTAGAGTCCGCACACTTAACCACTACACCAAACTGGCTCTTAAGGTGCTACTGGGCTCTTACTCTTTTCTAGGCAAGTAAAAGTTCAGGGGAAAATTCTTTTTGCCATTGAAGAGGTATAATGTAAAATTCCTGATGCCTTTTGAGAGTCTTCCTCAGGAACTTTTTAAAGTGGACACAACTTCTTATGGTGAACTAGGGTGATTGTTTCCTCACCCGGGATCAATACATGAGAACAGTCATGTCAGCAGGTGGCTCCTGTGTTTCACCAGAAGAATTTATACATTGAGAGCCGCCATGTCTTAGTGGTAGAAAAGGGCAAGAGTCCAGTAGCACCTTAAAGACTAACAAAATACATGGCACGGTAGGAGCTTTCATGAGTCACTGCTCACATCTTCAGATGTGTCTGAAGAAGTGAGCAGTGACTCACAAAAGCTCCTACCCTGCCACATATTTTATTAGTCTTTAAGGTGCTACTGGACTCTTGCTCTTTTCTGCTGCTGCGGACAGACTAACATGGCTACCCATCTTGATTTGTCCCCATGTCTTAGTGGCTAGAGTATCGGACTGGGGTCTGGGCGGTTGAAATCCTTACTCTGATGTGGAAGCTTAACAGGTGACCTTGAGCCAGTCACATACTCTTTGCCTAACCTACCTCACAGGATTACTGCTCAGGTAGAATGGGGGAAGGGAGAACAATACCGTAACATTTAAATAAAAAATTCCCTCAATGGAAAAATCTCGCAACAAAAGAGCACCTTCTTGCCATTGTTTACAGGCCAAAAGAGTCACATATGTCACTTGAGTGTATAAATTCAATTAACGTAGTTCTGGATTAGTTACGTTATGTGCTGACAGTCACTCCCCCAGGTTAGATTCCCAGCCTTCAGTCCTAAACACGCCTAGAACCAGGGAAATATGCTTTTCTGCCTGCTGTAACTTCTGACATGTTACGGTAACTAGATGGGGTTGATGAGGCTGTAATATATGTTTAGTAATTGTGTGTGTATCCCTGACTAGGATAGCCCAGGATAGCCTGATCTCATCAGATCTGAGAAGCTAAGCAGGGCTGGATTTGGATGGGGGGCCTCCAAGGAATATCAAGGTTGTGATGCGGAAGCAGGCCATGGCATACCACCTCTGAACACCTCTTGCCTTGAAAACCCCACAGGGTCACCATAAGTCAGCTGTGACTCGATGGCACTTTCTGCCATCAATCATGCGCACGACCACAGAGAGACTTTCAAGCAGTGTTCCCTCTAAGCTGAGTTAGTGTGAGCTAGCTCACAGGTTTTTAGCCTCCAGCTCACAGATTTTTTCTCTTAGCTCAGGGAGGATGACTCCAGAGGAAGCTAATTTATGCAGTGTAGCCAAATCGCTCACTCACAACTTTAATGCCAGTAGCTCACAAAGTAGAATTTTTGCTCACAGGACTCCACAGCTTAGATGGAGCATTGCTTTCAAGGATTGTGATATCTGCACTTGGCCTTCTGGACCTTCATTTTCCTGTCTTTAGCATCCCTTAAATTCTGACCGTAAGTCGAATACAGGTGTTGTCTGTATTTGCTGGATGCCCTTTGGAAATGTGGGGTGCCCTGAGAAGACAGGAGCTTGGAGGCATTACTTCGGCAATCCAAGATGTTACCAAGAAGTTAAAACAGGCTAACACATTTGGCACCAGTCCAGTTTCCTTTGGGTGCCCTTGTCTTAGAGCACTCAGATGGAAGTGGAATAAGCAGTTGTTGGGTTGGATCCCACAGAAGGGCGCCACGTGCCCAACAGTCCTTGCTTAAGTGGAAGCGCTGAAATTACTCCTGGCTAAATGAAAGTGATTGTATCCCCATTGTCTTTTCTGTTGGCACGCCCAAGGCTTAGCACAAGAGACAATTTTAAAAGGCAATTGAATGAAATTGTGCAAAACATCTATTATGTATTCTGTTGCTCCATATGCTCATTGCTGTTGTTGCATTAAAAATTACATTGAAATACTCCCGCTTGCACAAACTGTGCTGAAGTGTGCTAATCCGTTCACTGGAGCCAACCTGTTGGAAGTTAAGTTCTTGCCAAAGGCTACAAGGTAGGTCGGTTGAAGGCGGCTGAATGAGCTGAGTGTCAAGAGGAGAAGTGGCCCCTGGTCTCAGCTGTTCCATGCACATTTCTCCCTGGCAGCATTAGTTGTGCTGTCCTGCGTACTTGACTCTCAATGTTTTCTTTCTGCAGCACCTGATCATGTCCATGTTCCCAACAAACTGTGGGTCATAGTGGGCCTTCTCAATTTCATCGCTTACACGCTAGGTAAGAGTTTACAACTTCCTGCACGTTGCATCTACGTAATAGACAATATGGGCAAACTCCCTGACCTTGAGTACCATATACTTTTCATGCCCCTAATTCCAAAGGGTACACTCAAGATAGGCTTTCCTCCTTTTTCCTTGGCGCGTGGACTCTGCAGCAGCTGCCTCCAGCAACCAACTTGTGCTGTGATAGGTAAGGAAGTTTCTCTCTGAGGCTGAGGAGGGATAGTTCTGAAGCCAGCAAGCTCTGGTATGGCTATCCCTACAGCAGGGGATCCATCATCACCAAGGAAGAGTTCTCTGAGCTGAGTGTTGTCCCTCCATCTCAGACTGATTGCAGGCAGGAGGGGCCAGACTCTGGAAGACACCCGGCATCTTGGTTTGAAGTCATCCTTGGCTGTGAAAGCCCTTTAGGCTGTTAGTGATTTCTCGGTCTCTATTATGAGTTGAGTTAGAGTCAAGATGGATGACAGCAAGAGGACATTTGAAGCGGAATGTTTTTAAACAAGCCTATATGTTAGCTTTGGATTTTTCCTAGTAGTTTTCTTCTTCCAATGTCAGTTGCATCTAGCCTCTTGGTCCGCAAGCAGTTGAATCTTAAACATGCCTCCTCTTATGCTCTTTGTACCCCCTTTCCAGATGGCGTGGACGGGAAGCAGGCTCGCCGGACCAAATCCAGCACCCCGCTTGGCGAGCTCTTTGACCATGGCCTGGACAGCTGGGCTTGTATGTTCTTCGTGGTGACGGTGTATTCCACCTTTGGCCGGGGATCCAATGGTGTCAGTGTCTTTGTCCTCTACCTCCTCCTGTGGGTGGTTTTGTTCTCCTTTATCCTCTCCCACTGGGAGAAATATAACACAGGGATTCTCTTCCTGCCATGGGGATACGACATAAGCCAGGTGGTAAGTGTTGACTATTTTGCCCTGTGAATTTCCAAAGGAAAGCCTAGAATCTGTGGGAGGAACTATAATCCAGCATGCATGTGTGTTCAAGAAGTGTGTAGTTATGCTTGGCAATGGAGCAAGGCTATCTGTCACTTAATGTGTGTCTTCTGAAATAAGTTAAGGGCTGCCCTGTGTACATAGGTAAGTGCCATCAAGTCGCAACTGACTTACGGCAACCCCAGCCAGGGGCTTTCAAGGCAACTGAGAAGCAGAAGGTGATTTGCCATAGTCCTCCCTTCCAAATACTTACCCTGTTTAGCTTACATGATACGATGAGATTGGGGTATACCATGCCACCTTCCCTTTAAGGGCTGCCCAGCACCTCGGTAATAACTGGACTGCCATGCTGCGTCCTACAAATGCCTGTTTAAGCCAGCCCATTTTAAATATGTAGACCCATCCTGCCAGATAGCTGGAAAATGCGCAAGCAGGGCAAGATGTTGATAGCTACCCGGTTTTGTTCGCAACTTCGGGTGATGAGGAACAGGCTTCCTTTGGATATGGAGGCTGCATTTCTAATTTTTATGGCTGCCTCCATTTCAGCCTGTCATCTGTTATAACAGTCATAGTGACATCTTTTTTTTGGGGGGGGGGAGAAGAAGCACCTAACTGCTGTTACAATATCTTATAGTCCCAACCTCTTTCACAGAAGGCATGACCCTTAGGGAATGGTTCAGGTTTGTCCAGAAATTACTGCTAGCTGTCCTGCATTGCACGACACTCCAGAACATGTGAGGAGCATAACAGCATCGGGGTGGTCACTCTGGGAAGCAAAAGGGAACTTAGAGATGTTATGCAGAGAAGAAGAGGAGGAGGAGTTGTTGTTGTTGTTGTCATTACTCCACCCTTCACTCAGAGTGGCTTACAAACTCCTTTACCTTCCCCTCCCCACAACAGACACCCTGTGAGGTAGGTGGGGCTGAGAGAGCTCTTTTTTAAAACTAGTTTATTTATGCATTTTCCATACATAAAAAAACAAATCAAACAAAACATCCACTTTTTAACATAGTATTTGTTGGAGTATAAGTTATCCAAATATTAAATGGAGTATAAGTTATCCAATTATCCCATCCAATTATTAACTTTGTTCCACCTTTTCATAAACACATTGTCATCTCTCCCTGCAAACATCAAATTTAATTTCGGCTAATTCAAAGATTTTTTCAATTCTTCCCTTTTAGGTATTATATCCGTTTCCCACTTTTTTGCTAAAAAAAAAAAAAAGAGCTGAGAGAGCTCTGACGGAAACTGTCCTTTTTCAAGTACAGCTCTGACAGAACTATGGCTTGCCCAAGGTCATCCAGTAGTTGCAAGTGGAGGAGTGGGGAATCAAACCCGGTTCTCCCAGATTAGAGGCCATGCACTTAACCACGACACCAGACTGGCAGCCCAAAGGTGTTTCCTGACCTGTTCAGAGAAGAGGTTTTTTTTAAAAAATTGTGTTGTGATCTTCCTTAACTCTGTTTGGAGAAGCTCCAAGGTCGGGGAGTTGCTTTTCTGTTAGCTGGGGATTCTATGTACATTATGCTTTGCTGTGTGGGTTAGAGTGGTGAAAGTGGTGTGTGGGATTTGGAAGCTCCAGCTGCTGTTCCCTGCTTACAAGTTGGTGGCCTCGGGCAGATCAGACACTCGGATCTTCTTTGCAGAGTTTAGATTGGTAAAGGACTTCAGACTCTGAGAAGTGCTATGGGAATAAAAGGTAAATGGGGATCCAACTGCCATCTCTTGACAGGGCACTGTTAATGCCAGCGCCAACTGTCAAGAATTTGAGTGTGACATTGGACGCCTCATTATCTATCGAGGCCCAAGTCACAAATGTTGCCAGATCAGCATTTTTCATCAGTCAACTGGCTCCCTATCTGTCTCCCCCCGACCTAGCCACCATGGCCCATGCATTGGTCACCTCCGGGCTGGACTACTGCCACGCTCTATGCAGGGCTACCCTTGAGCCTGATCTGGAAACTCCAGCTGGTCCAGAATGCAATGGCATGTGTTCGGACAGGGACACCATTAAGAGCAGTCGAATACTTGCAGATTAATACTGAGTCAAGGTCAAGGTTTTGTTTTTACCTTTAATGCCCTAGGTGGTCTGGGACCAACATATCTTCAGGACCGTCTCTCCCAGTATGTCCCCAGAAGAGCACTGCGCTCGATGGATCAAAACCTACTGGTTGTCCCCGGCCCAAAGATATTCGCCCAGCCGCAGCCAGAGCCTTCTTAGCGGGACTTAATGCAGTTCTGCAGTCCTTGTAACCACCAGGCCTGTGGTTGAGGCGGCAACGATCTATCTATTTATTCTGGCCTCCCGCTTCCTGTCCTGCACTGTTTTGCATTGCTTGTTATGTGCAGTTTATATTGTCTGTCGTCTGCCCCATCCACCTGCACACATGCGGGGAACCTACAGGGGAGCAGATGGAGTTGGAGTGATCAGATGATGATATCAGATGCTATTGATGTTATTTATTGATGTTATTTATTGATGTTATTTATTGATGTTATTTTATTGTTGTTTATTGGTTAACCCTGAGTTTTTAGAAGTTGGATTGTATTTATTGCTTGTTGTAACCTGCCCAGAGCCTGCTTGCGGGGGAGGACAGGCTAGAAGCCAATTTGGTGTAGTGGAAGAGAGCCAGTTTGGTGTAGTGGTTAAATGTGCGGACTCTAATATGGGAGAACCGGGTTTGATTCCCCACTCCTCCACTTGCACCTGCTGATGTGACCTTGGGTCAGTCACAAGCTCTGGCACAGCTGTCCTTGAAAAAGAGCAGTGTGTGTCAGAGCTCTCTCAGCCCCACCCACCTCACAGGGTGTCTGTTGTGGGGAGGGGAAGGGAAAGGAGTTTGTAAGCCGCTCTGAGACACCTTCGGGTAGGGAAGGGCGGGGTATAAATCCAATCTCTTCTCTTCTTCTTCTTCAATAAATAAATACATTTTGATACATTCCTCTGCATTGACGTTCAGATGTGTTGCAATTGCTTATGCAAGCAAACAAAAACTGAGGTTGCAGTCAGTCGTTCGATGGATCGTGTTTTTTTAAAATATGCCAGCAATTGATTGGACAGCCCATTCTGTTAAATACCTGTTTTTCAGTACGAGTACTTGCAAAGGACATCAGTCAAAGGGTTCCCCCTTCACAGCAGGGACTGTCTGTTCCCAGGTGGTGTTTGCTGGGCCCCACATGTGCATCTTTTAAAACCCAAGTGTTCTTTTCTCCCCCTCTTCAGAGCTATTTACTATACTGATTTAATACTCTAATCAGCTGATCAAAAATTTAAAAAAATTATCTGGTGAGGATCTTAATGTAATTAGACACTGTTAAACTGTTGAGAGTCAGCCCATGGATGTTTTGTATCACTGTATGCGGACAGTTGCATTCTGTTTTTGAGTTCTTGCTAAATTAAATTACCAGTGTAGTGCCATGTGGACAGTGGAACTGGTTATTATTTGTACACCACATTGTGTAATTTTTTTCTATGTTTTCTCAGCCCTTTTGATTTACTCTACCCGAGAGCCAGCGTGGTGTAGTGGTTAAGAGCGGCGGACTCTAATCTGGAGAACCGGGTTTGATTCCCCCACTCCTCCACATGAAGCCTGCTGGGTGACCTTGGGGCAGTCACCGTTCTCTCTCTCAGTGCTCTCTCAGCCCTGCCCTACCTCACAGGGTGCCTGTTGTGGGGAGAGGAAAAGAAGGCGAATGTAAGCCGCTCTGAGACTGCTTAGGATAGAGAAAAGCGGGGCATGAAAAACAGCTCTTCTTTCTGGGTTGGATGTTTTCCCCGTTTCTTCTGCTGTCATCACATGGAATAGCCTCTGACACCAATACTTGACAGATGTGATTGCCCTGGAGTGCAAGGGCATTGGGAGGAGATTGTTTTCTAGATTTTGGGCATTATTGGTTTCGTCAGCTGTGGTCCTTTTCTTCCCTTCTCTTGTTTGCATAGCAGCATTTTGCTGTAAGGAGAGCTATCTTCTGGGCTTTTGGGGGGCACTGTGGAGCATTTTCTGACTAGTAACTATGCTGGAGCTTTTTGAAAGCCCTTTGCACTCTTGCATTTGTAGCCTCACCCAGCTGGTGGGATTTTGTTGGCTGGGAACTTAATGGTTTAATGGCTGATAAGGGAACTGAACCTTGGTTTCTTGTACCTGGGCCCAACTCCTTGTCTCCCTCTGCAGAACTCTGGCTTATAAACTGCAGGTTAACAACATTTTGGGTGTGAAGGGATTTGCTCCAAAGAGTACTAATAAATGCAAGAAGGTTCTTGGAACAAACGTCTGTTGCTTCACAGACCAAAACAACAGCAAATGCCGAACTCTCTAGCAGTGTAGCATAAATTTCTGCCAGTCTTGTTTTTCTTTACAAGCTCCAGCTAAAATCCTTCTGCTTCTCAATACTGATTATTAGGCTTTGGATTATGTGATTTGCCTGCAGCATTCATTGCCACAGTGTTGGATGTGGCCAAGGAGAAAAAAGGGTTTGGGCAAGTATAGAAAGAGCTCAGGGGTTCACTGTCAAAGCTGCAGATGAATACTTTAGTTGTTACAGGCTGTTATCGATTTGGAAAAAGGTGTTCGCAGCTTCTGGGTCAACTGTTGCTTGGTACATTTGCTTCCTGCAAGGAGCTTTGGACAATGTCAGTCAGTTACCCCATTTATTCTCCCAGCAACCCTATGAGAGTGATTGCTAGTCCAAGGTCACCCAGTTGCTTTGCGGTCTGGTAAGGATTTGAATCCCAACCTTTCCCAGTTTAAGAACATAAGAAGAGCCCTGCTGGATCAGACGAGTGGTCCATCTAGTCCAGCATCCTGCCCCATGCAGTGGCCAACCAGTTCCTCTAGAGCAGTGGTGGCGAACCTATGGCACGGGTGCCAGAGGTGGCACTCACAGCCCTCTCTGTGGGCACGCATGCCATCGCCCCACCCAGGCCCAGACCATCATTAAAGTGTCGAATGCTCTGCCAAATCATTTTAAGTAAATGAAAGCATTTGGGATTGCTTTCCTTACTTTGTTTGGATCATCTTAAGTTAATGTATGAGTTGTTTTTTCTAAAGTAAAACCGCAGTATTCAGGTTAAATTGCCATGTTGGCACTTTGCAATAAATAAGTGGGTCGCAGTTTGGGCACTCGGTCTCTAACAGGTTCCCCATCACTGCTCTAGAGGGACAACTGCAGGGCATAGAGACCGAGACCTTCCCCTGCTGTTGCCTCCTGACTGTGGGATTTAGTGGCTTAGTGCCTCTGAACATGGATAGTCAGTCCCCATGGCTAGTAGCTGCTGATAGACCCATCCTCCACGAATCTATCTAATCCCCTTTTAAAGCTGTTTATTCCTGTGACCATCACTACAATCTGTGGCAAACAAATTTCAATCACTCTCTGTGCTTACTGATACTGCACTTGCTATTCAGTGATGGTGAGGCAGGATGAATTGTTCAGAAAAGCAAAATTGGCATCCAGCAATACCACAGAGAAAGCTGGATGCCGACAGGAATAGGACAAGAGAAAGGGCTTTAAATAAACCTTAGGATTTGTAAAAGGATGCTTTTGCATATGCTTTTCCAAGTTACCTTGATTAACTTTGCAACTAAGGTAGGCAAAGTGCTGCTTATTCCCCGCCCCCTTTTCGGAGGAGGACAACCAGGCTGTGCAAGTGACCTGACTGGGGGGCCACCTGGCAAGGCTCTAACCCGGCACTCTTTGGCTTGGAGCCCTCCTACTCTCGATCTCCAAATTAAACAGTTTTTTGGAAGAAGTTGCGTTGTGATTTTTGTGTGAACTTAAGATCATGGTGGGGGTCTGGATGCCAGTTGCTGCCAACACACAACCTTGAAAGTTCAGCGCTGTGCCCATGGGAAGGGACGGCTGGGAAGAAAGAGCTCTTGGGGTAGCTTCTCCCTCCGCAGCTGCAGGCTTCCCTGTGTTGTAACGAGATATGTGTAAGAACCGTTCTAATTGTTAGGCGGCACTGGAAAAAAAAGGATACCCGATCAGATCGATTTCTCCATCCGCTAACACTCTGCAATTCTTTTTCCAGACCATTTCGATTGTGTACATAGTGACCTCGATTGTGGGAGTGGAGGCCTGGTACAGACCTTTCCTGTTTAATATCTTATATAGAGACCTATTCACTACAATGATTGTCGGTAAGGAGCTCCCCGTTGAAGCCTGTCTTCGTAATTGTCACTTTCTTTTGACGCAATCCAGTGTTTTGGTAAAAAAAAAAAATTATTGATATTTGAGTGTTGTCTTTGTTGTTGTTGTTTTTGTTGTTTTCGTCCCCGGCCTTGGCGGGGAGGGTGGGGTATAAATTGCCGGTAGGGATTGCCCCCACCCCTAATAATCGTGGCCCTAGGTTAGGGATAAATGGGTAACTGTAGCCGCTCAGAGACCCCTTAGGGGGTTAGAGCGGGGTAGTAAGCTGAAATAAATAAATAAATAATTGGGTCACAGCTGAGTAGCTGCTTGTTCTAGCCTAGCCCTGTTTAAACTGACTGACTCTCTCCGGAATCCAAGCGACAGGTCCAGACTGGTGGTGGGAAGTGCTGTCAAGTCACAGCCGACATATGGCGACCGTCCAAGGGTTTCGAGGCAAGAGACAAGCTGAGGTGGCTCGCCATCTCTTTCCTCTGCCTGTCAACCCTGGACTTCCTTCATGGCCTCCCGTCCAAGTGCTAACCAGGGCAGGCACTGCTTAGCTTTTGAGATCTGCCTAGAGCAGGCTAGCCTGGGCCATCCTGCGTCCAGATTATAGTAGAGCTAGTCTGGAGGAAACAGGATTGTAAATAATAGGGTCCCTAAATGAAATGAATCAATAATGCACCTTAGGTGCAGTTTTCCTTCTAAGCTGAGCTAGTCTGAGCTAGCTCACAGTTTTTTTAGCCTCTGGCTCACTCATTTTTGTCTTAGCTCAGGAAGGAGGGCTCCAGAGCAAACTAATTTATGCAGTGTAGCCAAATTGCTCACTCACAACTTTAATGCCAGTAGCTCACAAAGTAGAATTTTTTGCTCACAAGACTCCACAGCTTAGAGGGAGCATTGCTGAGGTGATCCTAAAATGATGGCTGAGGTGACTGCAGATTGGCCATGCTTGAACTCTGAATACTCCATGATCTCCCTTTTAGATTAGGAGACCTGTATCATCAAAAGACTGAGAATCTCCCTCCCTCTGAAAGCTGAAATCATGTGGGTAGCTTCAACTGTAAGACTATGGGTGCAAGAGATTTCGGTGGGGCATTTGTCGGGGTGTGTCAGCATCCGGGCTCCCAGTCCCACATAGTTTCTTGGACAGGAGGAAGGGTTTTGTCCATATTTAAGACTGTACAGCTCAAGAGAAGCCTGCAAATTTCTGTTCTAGGCCACTAATAATTGCAGCTGAACTCTTGTCCTGGATCTATCTGTGAGCCCTAGGAGACATGGAAGAATCATTTAGGTCATACCTGCACCAGTGTAATTCCTTTCTGGCTCATCCTGATAGGCAAATGTGCCACTAACCACTTGCACAAGCCCTGCCTGTCTCCCATGTCTTCGCTGACCATCAGCTTAATGCAGAAATCCTTGCAAAATAGATACCAGCCTTACTGCTGCTTTCATGCATGTTGGGTAAGGAGCTTTTGATGCCCTTTAGCAATCGTTTGGACTTGCAAATAATTGCTAAGGTGTATTATCCCAATGTGTGAAAGTGGGACTGGTAAATTAGCATTCCTTTCATGTCAGCATTTGAGTTTGCCTTTCACAGTATTGAGATTGGGTTTGTGCAAGTTGTGGGAACCTCTCTTCGGTTTAGATCTCCTTTCCTAATGCTTCTAATCACTGGGTGTTATGATTTATTTAGAAAACTTATAGGCTGCCTCTCCAGAGGCCTGTTCGAAGCAGCTTACAAATAAAAAACAATATAATAAGCCATACAATGAATCAGTATAAATACAAGCCATGAAAACATTATGCCCTTGTTTTACTCAAAGAGATTAAGCTGCGAAGTGTAATTTCTTATTATTTGGGTTTTAAACATGCTTGATAAACGCCTTTAACCATAACCTTTGGGTCCAAAGTTTGCTTTCTGCTGCTGGGAGCAGCTTCTGACACGGAACAGAATTTTTCTGTCTTTCCTTTCCTGAGCTGTCCAAAATGCTGCTCTAGGAGGAGCCAGGAGAGCTTTGGAAAGGGAGGGGGAGAAATCGGTGGAAGTTCTGGCAAGTTCTTGGCCTGAACCTGATACGATCAACCTCAGAACATGTACGTTTCCGTAACATTGTGACAATAAAAACAAACTGCAAGCCTGATCACCAGAACCACCGCAGCGGTCTCCTTATTGATTTGTTGGCTGTGGAAGGTCAGTAGTTCAGCAGTTCGAGACCCGAGTGTGCTGCATGATGGAGTGAACTCCCGTCTCTAGTTCCAGCTCCTGCCAACCTAGCAGTTCGAAAGCAAGAAATTGCAAGTAGATAAATAGGTACGCCTTCGGTGGGAAGGTAACAGCGTTCCGTGTGCCTTGGTGCTTAGTCATGCCGGCCACATGACCACGGAAATGTCTTTGGACAGCGCTGGCTCTTCGGCTTTGAAACGGAGATGAGCACCGCAACCCTAGAGTCGGATTCGACTGGCTTTCGAGCAAGGGAACCTTTACCTTTACCTTTATCCTGCTCTCAGCGAAGTCTGAAGCCTCCCTCTGTTGAATTGCTTTTGCACTGGAGGAAGAGCCGCTTCCATCAGAGGAAAGCTCCTTAGACCAGAGGAAGGCTTCATGCTTTCCTGAGCTAAGTGTTACAGTGCAGACAATTTATTTTTACAATTATTAACTGCTTCAGGCAGGGCTTGGGAGAGGCAGCATAGAAAAGCTCTAGGTAAATAAATGAGCGATGGATGAGGGTTTTTTTAAATGATACTGAACTGGCCTGGCCCACCTCTCTAGACAAGGCTGTTCTCCTTCTGAACATCAGTTGAGCTGCAGAAGCCTTTGGTCCAGGCCTTCCCTGTGGATCTTAATATATTGATGGGGTTATAGATTATACTGCAGCTGGATCCTCCTCTCTCCCCTTTCCTTTGTACAGTCAGTCATAAGATGCATGTACATGTGAAGTTGCCTTATACTCAATCAGACTACTGGTCTATCAAGGTCCGTGTTGTCTACTCTGGCTGGCAGCAGTTCTCCAAGGTCTGAGGCAGAGGTCCTTCACATCAGCTACTACATGATCCTTTTAACTTGGAAGTGCCAGGGATTGAATCTGCGACCTTCTGCATGCCAAGCAGATGTTCTACCACTGAGCCACAGCTCCTCTCCGATAGGACTGAGACATGAGCTAGCCAGAAGAATGAGGCATTGTTTGGCTTCATTGAGATGAAGCTGGGTGGAATTGTGAGTTCTGAAGAAGACAGAATCAGGATTCAAAAGGATCTAGATAGGCTGGAACAGTGGGCTGAGACAAATAAAATGAATTTCAATAGAGAAGTGCAAAGTCCTACACTTAGGTACAAAAAATCAAAGGCACAGATATAGAATGGGAGGGACTTGGCTTGACAGGTGCACATGTGAAAGGGATCTAGGTGTTCTGGTTGATCACAAGCTAAACATGAGCCTGCAGTGCGATGTGGCTGTGAAGAAAGCTAATGCAATCTTAGGATGCATTAACAGAAGCATTGTGTCCAGATCAAGGGAGGAGGTAGTTCCGCTCTATTCTGCTATGGTCAGACCTCACCTGGAGTACTGTGTCCAGTTTTGGGCACCACATTTTAGGAAGGGTGTTGACAAGCTCGAGCGTGTCCAGAAGAGGGCAACCAGGACGGTGAGAGGGTTGGAATCCAAGTCTTACGAGGAAAGGCTGAAAGAGTTGGGTATGTTTAGCCTGGGAAAGAGAAGGCTTAGAGGGGACATGATTGCAGTCTTCAAGTATTTGAAGGGCTGTCATGTAGAAGATGGAGCGGATCTATTCTCTCTTGCTCCGGATTGCAAGACCTAGATCTAATGAGTGGAAATTACAAGGGAGTCATTACCAGCTAAATAGCAGGGAAAACTTCCTAACTGTAAGAGTGGTTGAGCAGTGGAACAGACTGCCTCGGGAGGTGGTGGGTGCTCCTTTGCTGGACGTTTTCAAGCAGAGGCTGGACGACCATCTTTCGGGTATGTTGTAGGGCTATCTTTCGGCTATGCTCCTGCAGAGTGCAGGGGGTTGGACTAGATGACCAACTCTAACATTCTATGATTCATTGCTTCGTACCATTGCTATTGTGGCTCAGTATTTAAAAACCGAGCCATTTGTCACAGGAGGCAGTGCAGTATCAGATTATTGCTGGTTAATTCTTTCAACAACCTGCAGCACCTTTCCCCCCAGCTGTTGTGCATTCATGCATATAATAGACCAGTTTTGTAACAAAAATGATGTAAAAGGTCTTTCTGAAATAATTAAACACAGGCAAAAGTTGCAAAGGTAAAATATGCTTGTCCCCTTTGCATTGCCATTGGGAGGAGCAAGCAAGCATTTTAGTCTGCATTGAGGCCAAACATCCGTTGACACAACTGAATTGTGGCATTTGAGGCCAGCATGGGAGTGACCATGTCTTCTGCCAAAATTAAGACTGCATATTTGTACAATGTGCTGTCTGCCTTCAAGCAGACTAAAAGATCTATAGTTTGGAGCGTGTAGGGAGCAGATGGTGTTGGTGCCTTAGTGGGTCCCTTATAGTCTCCCAATATCTCTGTAAAACAAAGGCTTTTCCCCCAAAGGTGTTTCTGGAGTTTCCCGTTTCATCTATTTTAATAAGGGTTTTGAAACGTGTCAGTTTTCTCTTGGAAGATAATATGCTTCCATCTCCAGAGATTAGCAAGGAAATCTGAATAAAGAAGTCATCTAAAGGCATCTTCTTGTGGTGGAAAATATGGGTATGCTTGTGTGTGGCAGCTTCATCCAGAGATGCCCATAAAAGGAACTAGAATTGCATAGCCAGGATAAATCTCCAAAGGAAGGCCTCTAGAACAGGCTTTGGAGCTTACCAGTAATCTCATGGACTTAAATGTACATTCTCACATTTTTTGTGTGTGTTAGGTACATTTATCCTTTTGCACCTAATCTGTAGGAGTGTCTTGGAGGGAGAGGCAGAGCATCTGCTTTTGCATGCAGAAAGTTCCAGGTTCAATCGTTGACATCTCCAGTTAGAAGGATCAGGTAGGAGGTGATATGAGAGACCAGAGGCCCTGGAGAGCCACCGCCTTGATGGACTGCTTCATACGTATCTCCAAAAATAATGGGAAGCTGCTTTTAAACTTCAAAGCAGCTGTAATACGGAGGAGGATTGCTGATAGACTTTGCTTGGAGGAACATCGGCGCTTCTGGTGGAGTAGTAACCTGCCCTTTCTTCCCTTAGGTTGTGCGCTCACTGTGACCCTTCCCATGAGCCTGCGTAATTACTACAAGTAAGTGCTTTCCAAAATCAAGTGTTAGTGCTTGATATGAGCTGTAGCACTGCCTGGCCACCCATCCAGTGCATTCTTGTGAAAGGCACCCTGGGTAAAAAAACAAGGAGCTTTCCCTGACATAAAAAGGGGAGGGGGAAAAATATTGGCCGCTCATCTCTATTCTGTTTGGCGAGCAAAGCCAAATGCTCCATTTGGGGTGCACAGCTCTCTGCTGCAGCTGTGAAAATTGGGGGGGGGGGGAAGAGTAGGCCTGCCTTTGCTAATATTACCGGACTGCTGTTTTCAACCCATTTTGATGACGGATCTCAGTCCTGGCGGAGGCATTTTCGGGCGCAAGTATTCAAGCAGTGGGAGATTTGTACTTGGTCCATGGAAAGCACGTGCTCTGCTGCTGATCTCTATTCCAATCCCACCCACCCCAAATCTCCCCCTTTTCTCAGTGACATAAAGAAGCGCTGGACAACTCTAGGTTTGGTGATACAACAGTGGGAGGGCTTCTAGTCCTGGCCCCACTGGTGGACCTCCTGATGGCACCTGGTATAATTGGCCACTGTGTGACAGAGTGTTGGACTGGATGGGCCATTGGCCTGATCCAACGTTGGCTTCTCTTACGTTCTTATGTTTAGAGCTTTGTTTCCCACTCCAAGCATGGGGATACCTAAAGAGTGGCCAGGGTGGGGGAAAGGCATTGGCTTCTCTGTGGAGTAGCTCCCTTTGCTCCTGCCTGAATGCTTCAGTGCCTGCCTGGGGGTGTGGCAGAGACCTGACTGAGGTGGGGTATATAGAAGAAAGGAAAGGGTGCTGTATTTCTGTTGTGTCAAGCTTCAGTGCTGCCACTTGGCCCTTTAAGACAACTCACAATATCAGTCCATGAAAACAGTCAAATCACATCATGGCTTAAATCCCAACAAGAAAATGTTTTAAAAAGCAGCTACTTAAATATATATATATATA